TCCCGTCCCTGCTTAGCGGGGTGCCGTGGATGGCGGGGTCCCCGCGGCCAAAGTCTCTGGCAGGGTGGCGGCGGCCACCGCCCCTCTGGCCCCTGCCCGGCGCTGAGAGAGGCTGGGCCGGGGGCGGCCCCGGGCAGCAGGAGCCCCCCACCCGCAGCGAGGACAGCTTACAGAGGGCAGGTGAAATAGCTCTGCGCCAGGAGGACCTGATCCCTTTCCCTCCGGCCTGCGCTTAAGCACCTCTTCTTGGGAAGGAAATGCCTGGTCGTCAGGTCCAGGAGCAACTAAACACCTTGTTTCTTGTCATACCGTGAGGTACCGGCACATGTGTTGGTCGTGCAGTGTCTTTCATTGTTGACGTATTCTGCGTGTAAATGCCTTTCTGTGCAGCTCGTTTAAAAACTTTAAATGTTGTGGCTTTCAAAAAGCATTCTGATTTTATGCCTGTGGTACCTGGATGTGTATTTAAAGCTGATGAAATGAGATAGATCTGAGCTCAGAAGAGAGGCGAGAGCCTTTGTTCACCTTCCAAATCAGGATTTCAGCAAAGTAGAGAAAGGCTCAACCAAAAGGCCCATGTTCAAACTAATAGCGTGAGAAATAGAGTAGCTTTATTTTACATATGGTATATATTAATGAAGTAAATTCCTCTAAGCTTAGAAGGCAGATGCAAGCTTGCTATCTTGACCTTTAGACATCAGAATATTGTTGTGAGTTGGTTTACATTTATTTTTTTACAATAAAAAGGACAGAAGTGAAGGAAATATCTTGATCAAAACCAATTCTTTCTAAACAGGGTGGTGGGGATTTTTTGTTCTGTGAGATGTTCATAATCTCTATGCCAGCTGTAGCAGGATCTGATTTTCTAGGTTGGATTTAGACAGATAGCTTTTATCAAACTATAAGCAGATGCTTCTCTTAACTTTTTATAGAATCATTGCAGTCTCCCCCAGCTGTTACTACTGCATCTGGTTTCTTCGCTTCTGTGCTGATGCTATTGACATTTCTTTGTATTTATGAAGATGTAGTATTTTAGCTGTCAAAACATAAATTAAAAACATTTTGTGCTGGCAATTAGAAAAAGAATAAGCTTCTGACAAGACCAGACTAAGCTGTTGGTAGAAGTGAGAAGTGCCTTGAAAGTTAAGCCTAGGGAGCAAACTTTTGAGTGCTTTTTGCATGTGTTTGTACATAGTCTTTATTGGATAGCAGAATTTACCTAAAGGCCTTTGTCCAACTTTCAATGAAATGCTTTTTGTTGTTTGCTATCTTAAAGAGCAAATGTTTTTTGCTCTTTGAGAGGAAGGATGTCAGACAACAAACTGTGATCTCAAGTAGCCGGAGTATGGACAAGAAGCTTTATTAGAAGCACTCAGCAGTTTGTGTTGAAGTGTCTAAAGTCTAGTCTTCCTTTGTTTGTCCTTGTAAAAAAAAAAATAAAATTACTTCTGACAGGACAGTTTAAGCCAAAATCTGGGCTGCACTTCCCCAAAAAACGTGTTAGAGTACATTGATAGTTGCCATAGGGGCCGTCTAGTACAAAGTCTGACAAACAGGAAAGTCTGGAGAAGCATTTCATAACTGAAACTTTTAGCAAGTTGAAATAGTTGAAAAACGTCTATGTTGCCTTTGGTAAACCAGAAGAGAGGCTGAGCAGACATTCCTCATTTGTGAGGAAGCCTTGAGACACCACACCATCCCCACAGGAAACTGCTCATGCCCAGCTGTAACCACGCTCCCTGCAAGGGAGACATCAGCTCAAACTTCCCATCCCTTGTCCAAGGGCAGGTATCTGCTCCAGAGACAATTGCAGTTCAGAGATGCTTTATCTTCCACACACCCTATTGCTGCATGTACTCAATTAATAGAAAGAAAGAGAGAAATGTGTTCTGAAAAACTGTTCAGTTCATACTTTTAAGTACCTGGAAACTTTCTCCTCTGCTCCCACAAGGGAGGGAGTTCAACTCCACCAACCTAAGCAGATCCTGCAACCTTGGCACTTGAACTGAACTTGCTTTTAACGCAAGAGAGGAGCATGGCATTGTACCCAGGGGCTGTGTGCAAGGGATTCTTGGGAAGCAAGAACAGTTGCTAGGGCCAGAAGCATCAGGAAGGAAGGAGGCTTCCAAAATAATCCCTAATTTTAACATGACAGCAGACACTCTAGCTGGAAGTCCAGTTCACATTGAGAAATCAGTTTCCTCAAACAATCCTGTTTACTTGTGGTTCCTGAGAAGGGGTTAATTACAAGCTTTTCTACTCATTGAGGCATGCTGGATGATTTGGGCATGTGGAAATTAAATTATAGCCTAAATCCACCCTCTAATTTCAATGCAAAGATAGGTTTTCCTTCCTCTATGACACTAGTGCAGAAACATGCTGTGACTAATGTCCCAAAATTCAAGCCAGGAACATTTATTCCCTCTTCTCATGGATTTTGCTATTTTAAAAATATTAAAACCAAGGGCAATATATTTGATGCTTGCAGGAAAACAAGAATATTATACTTTATTACACTTCTAAAATTTTTTATGGCAGCAGTTAAAATTGAACACAACAGTTCAGTAAATATGGTGCAGACAAATTTTGAAAGCAGGCAACAAACACTTAGAGCTTGTCACTTGTTGAGGGACAATATTTGCTAACAGAGCTTGTGTGTGTGTTTATCAACAAACTGTTTTGAGGGCACTTGCCTGAGCAGCAGTTGTTACACCCAACATATCTACAGGTAGTTTAGTGCTATGAAAACTCACTTGTTTGGCTGTAAGCAGCATCAGTTGGTAACTGAAGATTCATTTGTGTGAAGTATTAGCCAAGTCTTGTCTCTGCAAGTATTTATGCACATCTGGTCCTGTGGTCTCAAATGCATGAAATTAGATTATGCCTTTGTGTTTTTTTCCTCTGGAAGACGGGACAGTTACTCTCTCAAGCTACAGAAGGGCATTTTACTTGACTCTCACCCTTTCAACACATTCTTCAAGTCTTGTTCTGTCATTTTGTCTCTAATCTGTACTATTAAATGTATGTATTTAGTATATTTTATGAAAAGAAAGTAACACCAGTGATGTACTTCCCCAGCAGTCAAAGTTCAGGGTTGTTTTATTTTGATGGCTCCCCCCACAACAACTTGCTTAACAATTTGTGGGTTGCCTCTTTACCTTTGTTCTGAGATCAACTAGCAGAGAATTGTTTTTTCAAAACACACTAGAAAAAGGACCCTGTAGATAGTTACCCTGTTGAGTTTGGTTTGCCAGCATTTGGAAAGCATCTGTGCTGTAGATTAGAAATATCCAGTCATAGTTTGCAACAGCAAATTCACATCCAACTCTTGAGAGGCCACAGTCCAACTTCTTTAATCAGTTCTTTTTGTGAGGTTTCAGTCAGAACAGCAAGGAGGAAAACCCAAGTGAACTGGTTGATTCTCCTAGGATGGTTAAAGTGCCATGTCTTGCCTCTCAACGCAGGAGTAAGGGCATTTGCTTTCTATTTTAAATATTACAAGTCAAACAAGATATCACCTATTTATTTGCTTCTGTACAGAGAAGTCTTATCAAAATCTCTGTAGTATTATTTGTCCTGTAGCTGTGTATCAGTTTAGGACATGAACATCAGTTTTCCATGAACTTAATTTTAAGGCTGTGCAGTAGCCTATTTTTCAGAAGTCTCCTAAAACAAGGTAATAGAGTGAACATAAGCAGGAAGAGACAATATTAACTGGCACTATTAACTCCAAAACAACTAGAGTTATGAAACTTGTGTTTGTGGTCAGTGTAAACAAACATCTGTAGCTCAAGCACTCCAACACTTGCTGGCAAAACTTCTCATGTCAAAGACTGACCTGCTTTTCTACAGTACTCAAAGCTCCCTGTGCAGCATCTTCCTAGCTCCCAGAGCTTTTTCCAGCTTTATTCTCACCATTGTTTTTCTTCCTAGGAAGTCTTTCTAGCAGAGCATTATCCTCTTTGAAAGATGGGTATAGCTGTAGTGAAAATGTAGTTATACCAGAATCACTAGGAGTATCTATGAACTTTATACTACTCCGCAGACAGGGAAACTTCCACATCCAACTTCAGCCTGGTCTGCTGTACTCACAGGAACTGAAGTCAATTACAGTCTTGTTCATCAATTCCTAGAATAGTCACTGAAGTTTTGAACTAGTTTGATGCAGCATTCCAAAGTTGAGAAATCTTGTAAGCAACACTGAAATAAGTTTCCAATTTCATTGCTAGGCTGGTAGGTGTTTGGCAGCTTATTAATTAGCAATGCTTACCTGCTGCAGTGTTTACAAAACTAACAGGGTAGCAGCTTTAATTGGCTTAAAGATTCCCCTTTGTTTTGAGGTTTCCTCTGTGCACTTCCTCAGATCTCACTCTGTTAGACTTCTTGCAATGGAATAGAAAGATGAACCATCAAATTCATGGATTAAAAGGAGGCACTGGCCAGCCAAAACAAGGAACAGGACTTCCCAGAAGCTGAGACATATACTCTGTAGAGACCCAAAACAGAACTTGCACATAGCTTGCTCTAATGCAATTTCAAAACACCCTAGAAAACATGAGTTTGTTCTGCCTCATCCAGGTTTCTGGTTTTTTTGAACCCTCTTACCTTTTACAAAACTTAAAATACTTTACAAGCAAGAGTTGTCCACATCCCCAGTTAGTCTGACTGGAACAAGTTCCCACCCCGGCAGCACTGAGAGACCTTTGTTTCAGAGAACAGAGTTTCACACAGAAGCTTTACGCAGGTTGTAGTTGGTAGTTGAATGTCATGGTAGTCAAGGTACCTGTACCTTCCATATCAGAATTATTTCCAGCATTGACAGAAGTTCTGCACTGTGCAATGATCTCTAGTTCTGGCATGCTAAACACACTCATCATATTTCTTATGACTGAGTTATAAGGCACACCTGCAAATAAAGCAAGAGCAATTTTACCAGGTTTGATTTTACCTGTCTGGTTCCCGAGTGAACACCAAAACTTCATGTCCTCCTCATGTTAACTTTCATTGAAAAAAGTGTAAATATTTAACTATGGTTAGCCTGAGATTTGCATTAACTTGATATCTGAGCTACAGTCAGTTGTCTACTTGTCAGATTTAATGCAATCCCTGTGTATTGTTGGAAGTGGGGGTTTATGCCCATGACAATGGAAGGGGCATCACAGGATACAAATGAGTTGCCAGGTGCCACAGAGAATACATCTGACATCAGCTTAAGAGTGGAAGTTGACGTTGGAGTTCAGGTTTTTCTTTTTCATCTGCAATATTGCTTTAGTACTTTGTAGTTACAAATTTATATCTATGATTTATCCTTTGATCTCTCCAAAGCCTACCTATCCAGCATTTTACTGGAATTATGGTTTCAGTATTTTTAATTCTTGTTTAGTGCCAACCTAATAAAATACTTAAAATAATGCAGTTGGCATTAGTAAAATTATATCCCCCTAGTTTCCTTTGTATCATATTAAGATATCAATTACTCTTTGCATCCTTGGAAGTCATTGGTGCCTTATGCTTCAGCTGTTGTTACAGTATTTGAATTTCCACAGAGCAGAAGATAGTAATTTAATCCATCAAGTGAGAACTGGTAGAGCTTCTTCCCCCTCCCACCCCCTGCATCTTCACAGCCAACATATAGGATAAAAGCCAAGCTTACACGGATATAGAGAAGAGAAGAGGTATTCAAAAACCAACAGATACTGTTCAGAGGAGGGTTTTTTTAATATAGGTATCTGATGTGGCTCTTGTGTCTCTGGCAAAAAAAGTTTTCTGTTAGCTAAAGCAGCCTTAGTGTGGAAGCTGATTTGACTTGTTCTTACATGTTTATATCTGAATTTAGGCTGATCTCAGAAAGAATGTTGAGTCAAAGTTTTACTCAAAATTTATAAAATAGCAGGCTACCGTATATCTTACATTTGTGCAAGATAAGCCTCTTCTGTTTCTCTCAGTAGGGAAATTAAGGCAACTTGAGCTCAGAGTCTCCATTAAAGATAAACCAGTGCTTTGCTTACATCTAGTGATCAGTGTTTGTATAGAAGTAGGAGATACGCTACATTCCCAGGTACAGAGAACAAGCAGAAAACATCATGCTCTATTAAGGGCCACATGGCAACATTTTGTCCTTTTTTTCCCTGCATGTTAGTACCACAGTTTATTAAATTTAGTTATTTAAGCAAATGAAAGGTGATTTTTGCACACCTGTTGTTCTCACATCTTAAGGAACACATCATATGTTTATTCTAGATGTGCAATAAAACTGCAGTAGCGAGCACAGAATATTAAAAGCTTTTCTCAAATGCTGCCTTTTTGTCCTGAGATTACGCCAGGAGCACGCAGAGAAGCAGGTTTGTCATCTGTGTAGCATCACTCCCCAAGTAGTTTGAGCAGGTGAGTAGTTTGATCCCCATACACTCGTTGGGCACTACTGTGAGGTTTCCAAAGCCATTTGGCCTCATGCCCAAGCAGACACAGTAAGGACTATTGGGAGGCTCTGTCTGGAAGACACCTGACAGCAGCCAAGGTTCTCTTAGGAACCAGATCTCAACTGCACATTGCTAAATTCTTGACAGCCAGGATTTTCAGTTGTGATTATGAATTTGAGATTCCATTGTCATATTTCTCCTGAACAGAATTCTCACTGTGACAGAAATGTTATGTATAGAAGAGACTTAAAGGAAACAGTATCAGATTAGTTCAGTCATGAGTGAGCCTTTGAGTTGATTATGTACATGACTAGAATTTCATGCAGCATTCTTCTGGAAGAATGGCAGGCTTAGGTAAAAGGAGAAAGAAGAAGAATGATTTTTTTTTTTTCAGTCAGTATTTTGGGATAGCAGTGCACAAAAGAATAGTGTTATTAAATTTATCTTGTATTGAAAGGATTGTAACTAACTAGGAGCAATAGTCTTCTATTAGAGATTGACAGTGCAGGGCATTATACTTTGTAATTCTGCAGAGGACTATTTATATGGGTTGCTCTGTATGCTACACTGTACATAACCTTCATCTACTCTGTAACAAGTCAGCAGCTTATTTAGTCCTTGGGATAGCTAATTATATCCATCTTTTCATATTTGTCAAGAAAGCAGGGAAGAAGATCATATACTTTACTCACCAATGAAGGCAGACTGCCTGCATGCCACTTTCCTCCTCTTCACATGACATAATTTAAGTTTTTTGAGAAGGAAGGCTAGACATGCTTGGAATCAAGAGTTCATCTTATGTTTTAAGTGTCAGAAACTTCTGATCAGGGACAGCCTGCTAAGGAAGCAGAGAATTAATGTCAAGTCAGCTTGGTTTGAAAGGTCAAAGGAAATTGTATTTTAGGAGGCAGTAAAAAAGCTGTCTATTTGCACGGCTTTAAATAAAAATTTTGTGTATGGGAAAATTCTTACAGAAACCCTCACTAAGGGGGACCTAGTTTTGATTCAAGTGTTGGCATGAACTGTTGCTAACTCTCCTTAAGAGAGTTCTGCAACACCCTCAATTGCTCTTGAAGGAAGAGTTTGCAGAGAGAGAAGGTAGAGGAGTGATCACTGTCCCCATTGATATACTGCCATGTGGTGAAATAGATCAACCCATCTGGAAACTGGACACCAAGAAATATGTACCAGCCTTTAACACAGGTGGATCTTCTAAAGGTACTTTAAACATTTCACTTCCATCTTAACTCTTTTGAGTTAGTGTATTAGAATACTGGCCTGTTGTTACAGTCCAGCTTAAGATTTCACCATTTCTTAGTAAAGTTACTTCCTTTCTCAGAAGCTGAAGTAAAGAGGTAAAAAGTTCTTTTGTTTGTTATTTTGCTTGAATCTTAGTAGACTTAAAATAAAGTTTAAAAACAGCTCAGTCCAGGAAGTGGCATCCTGCTTCTGAGCAAAGAGGACATCCAAAAATATCTGCATTCTTTCTGCTCCATGCTTCTGTCACAGCAGCTGTACAGAGCATGGGTTACCATCCCCACCTCCTTGTTGCCTCTTTTTCAGAGTCAGTAGCCAATCTGCTCAGATGAGCCCTGCAGCCTCCTGCATGCTGGCTTAAATAACTTCAGCAACAGGCTAGGGAGCAGGACCTGTGCTGGTTGACAGTTTTACCAACAGCTCAGCTATTCAATTTGAGGGAGAAAGTAAGAAGCAGCTAGGGAGGGCTGTAAGCAGAGTCCTCTCCAGCCACTGCTGCTGTTGGATGTTATGCCCACAGCCTCAGATCAGATGAGCTCAATGCAGCCTCTTGATGTGTTTTCCAACACTCAGCACCACCTTACCTGAGAAGGCTTCTCACATACCATGTTTAGTTATCCAACACCAATTCTTAAAACCTAACTTACCATTATTAGTTGTGCATTTTAGCTTCAAATTGGTAAGTCTGTGGTCACATAATTTCTTTTAAGAGAAATGCATTTGAGATGACCTCAGTAAGGTAGTAATTTTCTCTTTGCCCTTGACCTCTGCAAGAAATCTTCAGCATTATTGTGCTGTGTAACAACTTACTGCCTGGTCACCAGACAAAGTCACAAACAGGGTCTGGAACCATGCAGCAAGTGCTATTAGAGGCTCTATTCTCTGCAGCTCTCAATGAACCAGACAGAGGAAATCATTGGCTGAAAACCCCATGCAGCCTTTGAGAGCAAGTGCATGTTGTTTTTAAATACTCTTTCCAGAAAGAGACAGAGAAGCCAGTAAATTTCTCAATCCAGTTTGGGCCATTCATTTATGGAACCCTCATTAATCTACAAGACATCATTACAATTGTATTGTTGCCATAAAAACACAGTATTTAAACAGCTCCAGAAAAGGATTCTTTTATGTGCTTCCCCCTCTAATTCCTTCTAAGGGAACTGCATTATACTACTACCATACTGACCTTAAGGATTAGTTTCATAAGAATTAAGAAACACTGGCTCCCTGGTTTTCCACATATCTTCCACTTCATCACTAGAACAAGTTCCTTTCCTCTCACCACTGGCAATCCCTCCATGACCACCTTCTCCCTCCCTACACTAATTAGAGGGGCAGTATTAACTACTCTACTAATTAATTAATTAGCACAAACTTCTACTGCTGATCCCCAGCCATACTGCCCTCTTTAAGGTTCTCCTATAACTACAGCCCTACCAGTGGCCAGCTGAAAATATTTCACAGTTCATGATGGTTTCTTGCATCTGTTTTCCCTGATAAAGCAGTACCTTGTTTTCCTCTTAGTAATATTGTATACCTCATTCCTAATGTTGCCAGTTCTGAAATAGCAGGTGCAGGGAATGAAGCAGTAGACTGTTTGGAAAGGTGCAAATTCAAATAAAAAAGGACTATATTTTAATGTAGGCACACCTGTAAAGGGTGCAGCTAATGGCAGTTTTTCAGCTTTTTGTGTCTAACTTCACATTAGCATTCACCTTAACATGAATGCTTATGAAGTCCGCACTTTAAAACACCAAAATCATATTTTATAAACATATTTGTATCCTCTGTAAGTCTAGCTTTCCAGGGAGTAAATTTTATTTTCATGTTGTTAATACCTATATTCAAGGAATCAACTTTTGAATTACAGCTAATTGTAGTTATACATTCTGTCCTTTTTCACAGCAGAAATAAGATATTCCACTGCTTGAGCTAAAAATATATATTAATAGTTTTTTATTGAAATTGCAAAAATCTGATTTGATATATTCTGAAAATTTAACATACAGCTACAAGCACATTAAAGTAATAAAATTTACACCTTATTATAAACATAACTGTAGATTTTATTAATAGTGAAAGCTGTAAGAGGTGCTTGGAAGCAGAGTAGAGTAATAGAGGTCATTGATATTTTTGTCATTTCAGTGGAGGTTTCGTTACTCTGTCCCCACCATAATGTGATTTTTTTCTGAATTCCACTGCATGCTAAAGCAGAGAGATCCTGGTTTGGGCACAGATCCTCCATCTTCCAGATCATGGTGATCCTAGTGACACGCTCGGAGGTTCACATCCGTGTAGGTCATGTTACTGGAGCTGTAGAGGTTGATCATAGTACGGCATTCAGAATAAAATCATTTTGGTGAGGAGGTATTTTACCTCCTCTCAGCTGGTTTGGAACTGAATTGTTTCCTTGTACTTCTTGTGTTTTGCTGTAGTGCTTTTCCAAAGTCTGTCTCTCGTTTCAGACTGCTGTACTGTTGAACACTGTGTAAAATGTTGGGATGGTTAAATTGTCAAATCACTAGTCCACTCTGCCATTTGAAGCACTTCTCATATTCTGGAGATTCCAAAAAAAGAATAGTATTTCTGATATCGAGTCCTTGGTTTTTGAGAGTTCTGCTTCAATCTGCATAAATCCCCCTTTATTCCTCTCTGCATCCGCTTTCAGCAGCCTCTGGTCCATTTACAAGATTAGTTTTCTCCTGCAACTGTCAATCATTCCCTCCTGACTGTATTTTCATTTTGCTTTCATTCTCCACTTGGTCTTCATGCTCTAAGTTTTCCTCCCTTCCTTGGAAGAGACAAGATAATGAACTTGTTTTCCTTGAATAATCGTAGTCCTGTCAGTTTTAAGTGGAAAACCAAAAATTGTTTGATGCTGTATGGCAGCATGTGTTCCTGCCTGCATAGTACTCCAGAGATAAAACCACTTTAGTGTCTCAGATCCATGACTTTTCTTTCTCTTATCCATTAAATAACTGTATCTGATTCTCACTTTGGTCTTGTCCTCTGAGTCTAGAGGGCCACTGACATCCATCTAAGTATTCACATCCCTACTGACTCCCTCAGCTTGGCATTGAGGGTGTTCGTAATAATTTTCTGCCTGGAAAAACAGGGTAACTGGCAGTGAGGATGCTCTTGTTTAGTCAACTCTTCTGGCTGTGGGGGATGTACAGTTTGCAAGGATGCCCACTTCTCATGCAGACATAGTCCAAGTTAAAAAAAAAAAACCAAGCAAAAATGAAGTATTTGTAGCTCCAGTGACATTCAGGCCAACACTATCCACAGGGAGTGTATATCCAAGGAACCATTTAAGCTAATGCCAGGAAAAGTGTGGCTTGTTCCTCTGCTGTGCTGTGTCAGCAAATAGGAGACTGGCATTTGTCATTGTGGAGTTTATGAAAGTGCTTGTTGTAGCTGTTTCTCTGGCTGATTTGAATTTTTATTTTGTTTATTAGGTGTAGATTGTGAGTGCCAGGGCTAAATGCTGTTTTATATGAAATCTCAATAAGATTAAATCCCCTTGCCATTCCGTAATTAATTTCAAGGATACTGTGTTGTTTTCCCAGAGAACTTGTGGTGATCTCTAGGTGCATTCCTGGTTACAGAACATCTCTGGATTGAAACAGTGAGGGATGTGGTCTGTATGAAATATTGTGGGGCAGTTAAAGGTTGCAGAGCAACCTCAGAAAAGCATAAATCACCTTTAGGAGAACTGAGTGACTTCTGCTCTACCAATTCCAGCATCACATTCCTGCCAGCACAGATCCACTGGGCACAGCTGGGAGACTGAACAAAACAGCAGATCTGTGTTCAGCCAATATTACTTCTGCTGCAGTAGTTAGTTTTCACTCTTGTCATAAACATAAACCCTTAAAGACTAATTACCAGATATACTGCAGCAGTAGCACGTGTCCCCTGAAGGTTGCAACTGGCATTTGCTTTAAAAGCTGTGTAAAGATCTTTTTGGGATATCATTCATTTTTGTCTTTTTCCAGCATTACTTGTGAGAAAGGGCAAATGAGCCCACCTGGAAAAAGAAGTTCAATTGTCTGGCCTATTTTTCTGAATAGCACACAGAGCTGTAATCTCACCTTGAGGGAATACACACCATCTTTATGCCAAATGGCTTGGGCAATATGGAATTTGTTGGTGCCAGGAGTTCTTGAAGGGATGTAGCTCCACAGTGTAAATGTACTGCACTGGATAAAGCCCAGTCTGTACTCTTCTTCCCAGTGTCAAAGAAGAGGTGTCTATGCTTTTTCTATGTAGACTAGAAAAAGCTCTAGTCTAGGTAAAACCACATTGTTCATATGCTTAAAATTTACCCCAGTTTAACCATTTCTGCTTGATTTCCCCACTGTGCATACCTTTATCCCTGGGTGAATGTGTCTGGTTCCAAGTCACTTCAAAGCTTTGGAATTGGATTCTTGGAGAATAAAAATATTCAGGCAAAGGTTAAATAAGGGATAGTTAGCTCAACTCTAAATTCACTTTGTGCATTAATCTGGATTGACTCGAGTGTAGTGACAAATTCCCAGTTAATTCAGTTGCCAGAGAAAGGTACTGTTTAAAAATTAACATTGTGTTGAAAAGGTGTTCAGTAAGGGGAATTCAGACAGAATCAGTGTGTGAATGCAAGAGAAATCCAGTGCTTGACCTTTTATTCCTACTTCCTCTTGAGACTGCCAACAAGAATCTCTTAAGTGCTCCCTTTGCAGTTGATTTTGGTGGTGTGAACACCTGCCTTTTAACAATTAGAATAAAACTCATAAACTCATTTCCTGGAAGGCAGGAGCTATCAGATGTAATGACTGCAGGCTTTATTGATCTGATGGGGAGGATTTGGAGTGGTAGCACACAGCCTGAAGTTTCTATGCCTAAAAAAAAATCCCTGAGTCCCTGAAGTCCTTTGTGCAAATGAATTTTTCCTCTTTTACTGACCTCTCTGAAGTTGAGACATGTCTGTCTGAAGACTGAGCTACAGATTTTCCCTGAATGTTTTTACAAAGACTTTTTCAATAGTGATTTTTTTGCTTTGTTCTGTATAGGTGGAAGCCCCACTTGATAGCAACACTGAAATCTCCCCTGGCCTAGTTTCTGTTCTCAGCAGCACAAGTTAAAGTGTTCTCTAGAATGCAGTTTTATTTCTGTTTTTTCCTGATTCCCTGGAAGAGCAAGAAACCAAACAAAAGCAACTTCATATCAGAAATGCAAAAAGTCCAGGGTAGAACTTTCTCTGTAGGGACAACTTTCTGTCCTTCATGTAAAAGACATCGATGAACAGCTCTTGATACGAAAGATGCCTCCTTTCATGTACCAAACATTCACTACTTACATAAGATTGTTGGAGAACAATGAAGTATCATTTGAATCCCTTAAAATGATGTCTCTTGAAGACTTCTGTGGTAGCTGCAGTTGCTACCAGAGTTAAGGATATATCCTTATATATATAAGATATCCAGAGTTAAGGATCTGCCCTCCTGTGCATGGAGGGGTGTTTAAAGGGCAGCTCAGAACAGGATCTCTCCCCAGTAATAGTGCAATGTGCTTGTAGCCTCTTCCAGTCTTTAAGCAGGTATGCAGAAGTAAGAAGTATTTTAAATGTACAAAACCTGTAATGCTTGATTCTGCCCTGGCCAGTCTTTGCTGAAGAAGATTTTTAAAAATCACAGTTCTTCCTGGTTGCTAAATTTGGTGTTCTGACAGTGAATTGTCTATCATCTCTATCTGTGAATTGTCATGTTTTATACGCTAAATTTGGGGGATTGTTGATTTGGGTTTTGTTTCATGAAGACTGAGAAAAAGAATTCCATTAAAAGATGGAATATACATTTGTTCTTTGTAGAATATTTTTTGCCAGCAGAAATTACAATAAAATTCTTGAGTAAACAGTATCCACCTGAGAGGTAACCAAGCTAGCAGGGCTGTTGGCAGCTAAGACACTAATCACCTACTTAATGTTAATATATGGCAGTGCAGGGATGATTAATAGGAGGTTTACAAACATAGGTGTTTGGCTAATACACACATCCTGTGTGTGTGAATGACGTGGTGCCATCTCTGACATTGGCAGCAGTCCAAGGAACAGTGGGAAGAACCTGATGTTGTTGAACTGCTGGACATGCAGTGGTGCCACTGTTCCATGCCTTTTTATCCTTGGAAATGGAACAAATAAATACTCTCTACAGAGAAGAAGCCCATTTGAGTTGCTTGGAATTCAGGCACAAAGAATCCAGAAGAATTTTTGCACTATTGAGAATGGCAGCCTGGTAAAATAGTGGGTTTTGAAATAAAGCTCTTTTGGATTAATAGGGGAAGCCTTTATGCAAAGTATTACTGTAATTGCAGGCTCATGTTCTGATTGCTTTATCAGGGGAGATGCATCCTCAATGGCATCTTTGTTTGTCTTACAATGGAAAGAGATAGAAAATAAGCAATTAAAGCACACTTACTGAAATGCCACAAATCTGAGCATTCAGCTATGCACTTCTAGCTAAGATTATTGGTTAGTTTTTGTATTAAAAAAAATAAAAATATTGCTGTGGTCTGTACTTGCTTTGTAGTATTGCCAGACTACTGACAAAAGAAAAATTTTCTCTTTTTGTTTCAACTATGATCTTCTTTCTTCTCTTCCTGCTTCTCACCCTAAAGCAGTCTTTTATGAATGTGCTCATAGAAATTAGAGGTTAATTACCTCTGTTGTATATTTGGGATCCTTGTTATTCCAATGAACCTTGTAAAGAAATACTACAGAATCTGACACTGGTAATTTCAAAAATAGATGGACTTTGCTCTGATTGTATATTAGCTGATATTTTAGTAGTGAATAGTGTATTTATTGACCTTTATGAAAATGAAAAACAAACTCCTTGTTCCCTGTTTTGTGGTCTAGTGCCACGTAGGCATGAGCAAGTCCAACATTAAATTTGTATCTCCCAGGAACAGAAGATTCCCAGAGGAAAATCAGCAGACATCTTTTATATAGTGATAGGGAAATACATTTTCTAAAGAAAATGGCTTGAGTTTATCCTCTAATACCTCATAAGAGCAGTCTAATATTAGTGGAAGATTAACATTATTCAGTCATTTAAATGTCAAATCTTTATGGCAAACCAGCATAGATTTTGAGTTAAATCTCAAAGACTCTTGCTTTCTAGTTGTGTGTGTCTGTGTGTTGCTTAATCTCCCTGGCCAGTACAGGGGATGTTGTGATCTCCTCATTAAAGACGTCACACTGAGAAGATTGGAGTAGAGGAATAAATAGAACAAGTGCTAGAAAGCCAAGCAGCTCATCTTGGTTGAACTAAAATGCCTTCCCCATAAGTTCCCATTTTGCAGAGTATCTAACCAGCTCATTTGAGGCTCTGCTAGTTATTTGTGCATCAGG